GTTCTTCATTTTCACTTACTTCATCTTGTGCCATGAAACACATGTGAGCACTTTCCTTTTCTTCAATTTTTTCATCTGAGGATGACTCATCACTATCATCCCAAGTGACCGTCATTGCTTTTCTTTTCTTGTTATTTTGAATATTGTTGAAGTTGTTGAAATAACTTGATTTTTGTTTATTCTTCAACATTGGACAATCTTTCTTCATATGTCCTGGTTTATTATACTTAAAACAAAGAGGGTTATTTGAATTTGAACTCTTAAATTTAAAATTATCTCTTTTGATGAATTTTCGAAATTTTCGTGCAAACATGCCCATTTCTTCATCATCATCATCTGAATCTTCTTTATCGGAAGTAGTATTGAATGCAAGAACTTTCTTGTTCTTAGATTCTTCATCATTCTTCCTATCTTCAAGTTGTACTTCATATGCCATAAGATTACCAATAAGATTTTTAACCGTAAGGGTTGACAAATCATTGGCTTCTTCAATTGCGGTAACTTTCTTTTCCCATTGTGGAGTAAGTGAAGTAAGTATCTTTCTTACCATCTCCACTTGAGTATATGTTTTTCCAAGACCAATAAGAGAATTTGTGATGTCGGTGAATCTTGTGAACATTTCTCCAATAGTCTCATTTTCCTTCATCTTGAATAATTCAAATCTGTGCACAAGAACAGAAATTTTAGACTCTTTAACTTTATTAGTACCTTCATGAGTTACCTCGAGTGTGTGCCAAATATCATATGCGGATGTAGCCGTTGACACCCTATTGAACTCATTCTTGTCAAGTACACAAAATAAGGCATTCATTGCTTTTGAATCCAAATTTGTATTGTTCCTTTGAGATGTAGTCCATTCCGCGAAAGGAGTGGTTGGCTTCTCATATTTCGTTTCGACGACGTTCCAAAGTTCGTAGCCAATTGATTGAAGGTATATCTTCATTCGACATTTTCAATAGTTGTAGTTCAAACCATCGAACATTGGAGGACGGTTTGTAGAATGGCCTTCCTTGAATTGTGATGTATTTGACGATGCCATCTTTCACCTCGCTCTGATACCAAATGTAGGATCTGAAATAGATACACTAGAACACTAGAGGGGGGGGTGAATAGTGTTCTTTTAACTAGAGGGGGGGTGAATAGTGTTCTTTTAAAATTATTGCAAAGTAGATAATAAATTGCAAAGAAAAATGGCAATCTCAGAAATTTGCAAACACAAACACAAGGATTTTATACTGGTTCCACCAAACCGGTGTACATCCAGTCCCCAAGCAAATCCCGCTTGAGAGTTTCCACTATGATTTTGAATAAACTTACAAAATCAAACGCAAACCTGACCAATTTGCAAGTCCCTGCAAATTGCAACACCAATTGACAAACTCCTTGCCAATTTGAACCCCAATCTCTAAGCCAAGAGATTAACCCTCTCACAACCGAGAGAAAACTTGTTGTAGGAATAACACAATGATCCTATAAGCCTTGAATGTGTAGTGAAGTGCAGTAGTGGCTTAGGATTCTTTTGATCTCTGTAAAATTGCCTAATTGATTTGTTTTTTATGAAAGTATATAGGCAATTTTAGAAACTCTCCTTTTTTAGAAAATCAGAATGTTTTTCACTTGAAAAATTGTACAAAAATCAAAGCTTATGGGTATGTATGCATGTACAATTTTTTTGAACAAATAACCTATATATAGCCCTTGAAAAGACAAGTTTTTAAAGTTTAAAAACGTTTAAAAACGGCCAAAAACTGTCAGATATTCAAATTCTGAAAACTGAAAAACTGTCTCTTGTAGTCGACTACTGTAGTCATTAGTCGACTACACTGTAAAAAGACAGAAACTTATAAATTGGAATTTGAGTTCAGTAGTCGACTATAATGTTCATTAGTCGACTATACTGTAAAAATACAGAAACTTATGTTTCTGTCAAACACCTCAGTAGTCGACTATAATCTCTATTAGTCGACTATACTGTAAATTGACAGAAACATGTATTTGAGTTCTATACATGAGTAGTCGACTACTATTCTAATTAGTCGACTACTAAGGTCAGTTTTTATAATTAAGTTTTAACTACTATTCTAATGGTTAACATAGGGGATTTCTATAGTTAACCAACACACTAAGCCTGTGTTAGTGTGTTCTAAAATTGTGTGTGTGTGCGTGTGTGTGATCAAGGCTTGTACAATTATTCTAAGTAAAGAAAATGTAAAATACATTATCTCTTTTGTTCTTCATTTTCTTCACTTCAAAATGCCTTGATATCCACTTGCACTTGTACAGATTCTGATATTGAAATCTGCATATGAAAGTTAGTGCACACACAATATAAATTGTTATCATCAAAACACTATCATGGAGATATGATATTCAACACAAAGGACTGGATTGTTGGATCTGTCATGTTGCTAAGAATATTGTGCATGACAACGCGAAAGAGAGAGAAGACTACATGCAGATAGAGAGTATCTTTTAGACAGATCAATGATACATAACTAAGAAAAAAAGAAGAAGGGATAAAATGAATCAGATGGAGAGGGCAATCATATCATATATGAAATAAAGGGAACACCAGGATAATGGAAATGGTCCTCTATACAACCAAACAAAAGACAGTAACTCCACGTCAGTACAACTACAACAGTGCATTACAATTATGGAGATAGAAACCAAAATTATTAAAACAAGAGGGAAGGTAATTTTCTATCAAGGTTGCCCTTTTGTTGCAAGGGTGGTCAGACTTCATAAGGCTAACAAAATAAAATGAAAATGAAGGCTGTATGACTATATTCATCAAGAAATTAGAGGCTCCAAGCAACAATTTGGATAAGGTACTGAAAAAAAGAAATAAACATAGTCTGCCTAAATAAGATGGGATTGAAGGGGAAATGTACTTGACGGCTTAACAGTAGTGATCAGGACAAAGAAACTTCTCTGCTTTTTCTCTCGAAACTTTCTAGCCTTGACCTGACAGGCTTTTAAAGGATCTTCCAGTACCATACCTGAAGAAATCAGCATCATCTCAGTAATGGGAACTAAATGTTGCAGCACTATCTGAATACATTAAATTCGCTGGAAATAAAAGAACAAGTGTTGTACATTTATATCTACAAACCCTAAGCCAAAACTATAATGAATTACAATATTATACGCATCTGGACAATTGTCTCTCTTACTATTAAGGTTAATATTATGAATTGAATTTGGACAATCTGTATCTATTCACCTTGATCTACGCATCTTAAAAAGTCGACAAATAAAAAATTATGTATGTTGAACATATATTACATATGCATCAAGTGGTGACAGAAATTAACGATTTCGTTACCATTCAGCAAATGGGACCTCTTGATGCATGGGTTAGACCATTCCAATGGATGATCCATTTCATTTGTCATTATCTAAATGTCTTAAAACATCTATAAACTAAAAATCATGATATTTCAATACCTCTAAAGCATATTTATCATTGTATCTTTAGTTGTATTATTTGTAAAACCATTAATTTTACAACCATTTGAAGCATGCGTAACTATAATCCAATCGACCAAGGGCGGATCTGGTACTGTTCAGGTTAGGCAAGTGCCTTACCTGAATATTAGGAGAGTAATTAAGGTAGGGGTTTAAATTCTCATTACATTCTAAAACAGTTGCTCATTATATACGTGTGCCACACCTCACGCCTAAATTATGCTTTGCCTGTCAGGTTATCAATCTAAATCATCTATCTAACTTTAATTGAATCATAGCCATTAAATCACAATCACCTTATCTTAATTATAAACCAATGAAAGCCCATTAAAGAACCTTTGTCATATAAAAAAAAATTATATCCTCGAGGTCCGCCTCCTTTCCCAAAATAATTCTTTCCACCGAATATGAAGGTTGGGGGGGGGGGGGGGGGGGACTAAGATTTATCATCCTCAATCCTAAACATGTTGGTTATGAACCTTGGCTCTCTCTCTTTGACTAAATACACAATTTTTTTACCTCAATTTCTACCGAAACTTTTGACAAGTGTATCTCAATTATATCCAAAGCTATACTAAATTTTATACTTTTCTTCTTTTTTGTCATCTTATCTAATCAATAAATTATGTGAAAATTAAACATGATAGTTCAAAGGTAAATTTTTTAGTTTATTTAATATATCTCTCTTTGTTATGAAACAACAATGCAATATTTATGATATTTCAATTTTAAAAAAATTTTGTTCATAACTTTTGTGCCCTACCTGAATGAAAATCCTAGATCCGCCCTTGCAATTGACTTTATTTTTTGTTTATATACCATCCAAAATATATAGATCGGTATAAATGAAGTGGATCAAGAAAATTGATTGCATAATATACATTTTGACAAGTAGGGCATAACTAAGCTAGTTATGCCTAGAATACATAAATTGTCTCTCTTACTATTAAGGTTAATATTAGACATGGCTCTATATATACCTGACCAGTGTTTTCAATGCGCGAGGCGCAATACGGCGCGCAAAACATCTTTACGCGCACATGCGCAAGGCGTAACGCTATGCGCGCGCCTGAGTGATGCGAGGCGCACACCACACACATAATATTTCAATATATGTAATCAAGCGCGAAAGAACATGTTTTTAGAATTTACATGAAAAATATCATGATAAATAATATCTTGCTACAAACTTACAATATATTGCCTTAATTTCTAATGCTAACACCCAACATAGTAGCAAATTTCATAAATTTTCAAATCAAATGTTAAATCAAGACATATCCAAACTAAGGATTAGTAATGGTCCTCAATTGAAGGTTATTAAAAAAGCCTATTGGATTTATTTTTCTTTTTGGGATATGGAATATCAAGTATAAAGACTCGATTAAAATGTTAACAAACAAAACTATATGAAGAAATGTACTACATGCATCCTACACAAAGTACAGATGTACGCGAGGCGCAAAAGGCGCTGCTGCATCAGATGTGGGGCGCTTCGCCACCGCCCCGCATCGTAAGGCGCATAAGGCGCAATGAGGCGCGCGCCTTTGAAAACACTGTACCTGACTTGGTAAATTGTCTAATAATTTCATTGCTTGGAGCATAGGGATTGTTAGCAGTCAGATGATAGAATTTAGTTTCACAACTTTTTCAATATAGAGTTTGGCATAATAGTCAATTTAATTTGATAGGAAAAGGCCTGGATGATGGATATGATGAGTTGTAACACAGTGATGTTAGGAGTATACTTCCATTTATCATCAGCCCATGTTACTAAAACCTTTTTAAAGTCTTATTTCTTTATTACCTAGATTCTCAAGAGTCTTGTTTCTCTGTTACCTCTTTCCTTGGTGCCTCAGAAAATTATAGAAAAGGTGAACAAGAACAATTCAAATTTCACGTGTAATTACTTAATTGCATGAAGAAGTATCCCCATAATTTTTTTAAGCTACATCATTTACTTCGAAGAAAACGGGAAAAATATACAGTGAACTCCTAGCACTAATCAACTGCCATTCTAAGTTTTACCTCCAAAAAGCTCAATTCCTCGATTCAGTCCTGTGCTAATAATAGTATTTCATTTTAATGTTTTTGCATGTGTACCTGTCCGAAATGTTGCTTTGCCAATGTGATTTTCCTTGCAAGAATGTATGACAGATAACCAATTAATCTCATTCTAAACCGGAAGTTCTCTAATGTGTAATCTGATTTGCGATTGAAAAGACCATCCACCATGCTTAAAGCTATAGTGAAGTTGTTTATCTCACTCGTGGAAATTTCTGACCTGTTCTTCTTTTGGCAATGTTCTCAAGAAAAATAAATATCACTGGATGTCCCTCTGTGAACCAAAAGGCCAAACTGGGTTTTTCACATCTGCTAGACTCATGCAGCTGACCAGTCATTCCAATGCAAATATTCAAAACTTCCGCACCTGCCACATCACCAGTAATCCCCACATGAACAAACTCCATGTTTAAAGTGATGAAACCTATTTGAATCTCTGAGTATGATCTCCCGTTTACTGATACTAGATATAAGCTTGGCAGCATGATGGCAATCCCCACATGTTCTAAGGTTCATCGTTATCCTAATAGGTGTCTCGGGTCCAGTACTTATCATTGCAAAAGCAATAGCAAGTTTTTCGCTATGTGCAGAGAGATGGCTTTCCCTATCCTCATCCTCCACATCATGTAAAGTAGCCTCAATATCAGCAACGTATCCCGCTTCCTTAATTCTTCCCATCAAGATATCCAGCTCCTCATAAATTTTCTTAGACAGTGGATGTGACCAATCTCCAATATGAAAAGTATGCACTTTATTACCAATTTCTACAGTGCTACAACCGGGCAATTTCTTGATGCCTTTACTTGTCATGATATTCCTCACTGAGGTGACATCCTCCCATCTGCCTGCCCGAGCATAAATATTGGATAATAGAACATAATACCCCGATTGCTCAGGAACTAATTTGAACAAATTGTCTGCAGCAATCAACCCAATAGACATATCAGAATGAACACGACAAGCACCTAAAAGAGCACCCCAAACTCTCTCGTTGGGATCTATTGGCATCTGTCTAATGAAATCATAAGCTTCACGGACACAGCCAGCACGACCCAATAAGTCAACCATGCAAGCAAAGTGCTCTATTCGAGGAACCAACTTATACTCAAAAGTCATGCACTTGAAATATCGCCTCCCATGTTCAAGAAGACCAGAGTAGCTGCACGCTGAGAGAATCGACACAAAGGCAATGTGATCAGGTTTGAGCCCGGATTCCAGCATCTTTTCGAAGAGGGCAACTGCTTCTTCTCCATACCCATACATTCCATAAGCTGAGATGATGGAAGTCCAAGAAACTACATCTCTTCCTTCCATTCCATTGAAAACCTCCCTTGCATCCTTCACGCATCCGCAATTCGCATACATGTCCATGAGCGCATTCTCTAAAAAAAGATTCGGGAACATCTTCTTCCTCCTAATACACTCATGTATCTTCTTCCCAATCGACAAAGCTGAGACAACCCCACAAGCAGGAAGAACACTCGCAAACGTAACTGCATCCGACTCAATCCCAATCTTCTCCATCCTCGAGAAAATCTCCACTGCTTCTGCTGCCATCGAATTATTCGCATAAATCGCAATGATCGCATTCCAAGCAACCAAATCCCTACTCCCCATTTCATCAAACATCTTTCTCACGAACCCAACATCCTCGATTCTCGCGCCAGACATCGCGGGCAACACACTCGCCATCGTCCCCGCATCCGGCCTCACCCTCCCTCTCTCCACCATCTCCCTACACATCTCAACCGCCTCCTCACCGTGCCCACACTGCGCAAACCCCGCCACCATCGCATTCCACGACACAACATCTCTAACACGCCCGCCGCACCTTGCGTACATCGCAATGAGAGAATTCCCAACAAAGATATTGACATCAAGCCCGAGTTTCTTCACCGCGGCGTGAATCTGTCGGCCCCCGACGAGGCACTCGGCGCCGGAGCACGCCTTGAGAGCACAGGGGTAGGTGTAGTTATCGGGTTTCGGGGAGTGGGACCGAGAGAGAACGGAGAAGAGAGAGAGGGCTTGGGGATAGAGGCGGTTGTTGACGTAGGAGCGGATCATGACGTTGAAGAAGACGATGTTGCGGCTGGAGACGAGAGAAGGCGACTTGGGCGCGTTTAGTGGGTCTCATCGACTTGGGAGAGCGAATGCGTGCCCATAACAGCGTAAGAAGGGAGGAAAGTGGTTGAGAATTTTTAGCAAAATGTTTATATAAAAACTTTTTGGAAAAATTGTACCAAGGCCTCAATTTTGAGAACTTCACGTGTCCACTCCCTCCTACTTTTGCCTATGTGCTTAAGCCCCCGCCCCACCCGCGCGCGCGCGTTTAGAATCTCTTAATTCTGCCCCCATAAGTGTAGAAACCCTAGGTGCAAGGGCTTGAAGAAGGCTATAGAGCTTAATGTCCAGATTCAGATCGAGGATTGCGTGAGGGAGAAGGCGAAGGAGTGGAAGGAGATCAAAGACATACTATGGAAAGGTGGGCAACAGGGGAGGAACCCCGATTATGAGGTATTGTGTGCTTAGCTGTGGAAGATGGCACTCATCAATGGCTGGATTGTGCTGCTATTTTGAGCGAGGTGCAAGTGCCCGCTAGCACAATTGGAGACTTGTTGAAGAAGGGGCCAAGGCGGAATTAGAGGCTAGGGTTTGAGTTATGGTACTTCAAGCTAGTTGGATGCAATAAAGATATTTGATGAAATGCCGCACGAGAATTTGTTGTTTGGAGCTTGGATATACTATTAATGTAATAATCAATATATATTTTTTAGATGCAAATTAATTAATTTGTTTAAATATGCGAGGTCTCATAGAGGAGGCCCACATGATGTTGGAATTGGTAAAAAACAAGTTTCTCAAAGGCCCATTAGTGTTAGTCAAAACCTAGCAAGCCCATGAGTATACAACTCCACATTTCCCTAATATCTCCCACGTTTAACCAAAAAAAACCATTCTAGAAAATCTCTAACCACATAACCACTTTATCTCTTTAAAATCTCTATCCATCTCCTCTACCCTTTTTCTTCACAGTAGCTTTCTCAAAAAAAAGAAAAAAAGAAAAAAAAAAGAAAATAGAGCAAAAAAATTTTAAAAGAAAGGAAGGAGACCGATTGCCAGAGGTGAGGGAGGAGTCAACCTAGGGATCTCTACCGGCTTCCGAATCGTGGCAAGTGTTCTTTTTTTTTCTTATCTTTTGTTTTTCTTCAGCAAATCCTTAAACAATATCTCTATAGTTTTGTTGTGCATAATTAATGTCCTCAAAGGTTCTCTACGTTTATTTCTCCACTAATGTATTATGTCTTCTTTAGAAATGATCTATGATTTGTTTTTCCTCTCCTTAATCTAATTTATTTATCCTGTATTTATTATCATGTTTCCTTCTTGAATCTTTTCATTAGGATTTTTTTCTGATCATGTCAGGCATGCCCAACTTCAATTTACAGATACCTCCCTTTGATCCATGACAAATCTTAAACTTTTAAATCTTTTCATCGAATATATGTATAAGGATTTTTGACTGGATTTCATTTGAGATGGTTTGATGGTGCATTTAATAAATAAACATTCCTATAAATCTTTGTTCGTCCATTTATCTGATGAGTTGTAAATAAATGAAACTCTATGACCAATTTTTTCTATCTTTGGTTTCTTGCTCCTTCACTATACAGCTATATACGGTCATGCATATAGACATTATTCCTCATTTGTGTGATTATTATATTTCAGGTTTTGGAGGTTCTTGAATGTGTAATGCGTATATGACTGCTAGAGCATCATTTGGTTCCTAATGGGACAAGGACTAGGACTTAAGTTGGGATTAAAAGTTCCAATCTTATGTTTGGTTTCCTGTTCAATGTTCTTGGGAATATGATACTCAAATCCCACTTCCATGTTTGGTTAGTCTAAAATTGAGATTAGCATGTATTATTCTAAAATTGGGTTTATGATACAAATTCCAGATCCGTTTGGAACTATAACTCAAATTTCAGACCGTTTGGGTTTATGATTCAAATGTAAGACCCGTTTAGGCCTTTGCTCACTGAAAATTAGTTTTGTAGATTTCTATGCTATCAAATTAAAACCGTTTGGCCCGCTTTGACACTAACAATTATGAAAATTATTTACTTTTCCTTTTGTTAAGATGAATGATGATAATGTTTAATCTCTTGATGCTTATTGGATCACCTGATGCTATGTTTGATCACCTAGTGATATTTAATAGGGTTGATTGTGCATGAAGACGACTTGCGTTATAAAATGTGTTATCATAGCATGGTTGTACCCTCAACATCGATATCCCAATGTGAGGAGTTTCTCTTGATTATTACTGTTATTATAATAACATTGACTAGACGATTCACCGATCTTGATTGAACATATTTTGGGTCATGATTATTTTTCATAAATTTTACAGAAGTTGTTCCACGGTAACTTCGTGGTTAGTGAATAATATTTCATGCACAATCACTTAAAATAAATGAATAAATGTGCGATTTATAATGGAGAATTGGACGGAGAATATAACGTGTATATAAGCGGGCTCATGCGCATTCTTGATATCTACATTTATATATAAGATCTAATGATTAATCCTGACTTGAAGCTGTGTTCTCGGGACGTTTTACGGGAACCTGACTTATATACATGAAAATATTCTTCTCCAATTCAAATAACATCTAACATAATAATAATGTGCTTGTGTGCCTTGTGGTAGATCATGTTTAATATTTACAATTAGTGTTTTTTTTCTTTATCACCTTTATTTGAGTTTTCATATTTTCTTCATACCTGCTGCATATACTTACACGCACCTAATTCCTTCATTTTACATGCTTGTTAGGAGTTTTCTGACTCTCCTGGAGTTTGTGCACCCTAGACTCGGGAATTGTTTTTTCTTCGCAGGATTGAGAGTACTTTGAGGATCAGGTCCAGCGGTAGTGATCACCTTCTGTCCTATCAATTTTTTAGCTTCAGTTTATTTAGGTAGTCATTTATTCTAGACTTTTTCTTAGCCACACGTGGTTCTCCAGACTATGATGTGTTTTCCCATTTCCCATTTTGGATAGTTGTGGACTTGTGGTAGAATATTGTAATTTTAGAGATTTTTTTACCTATCTATTTTCTTTGTTATCTTAGTTACATGCTCTATGTTGTAGTTCTTTTGACAATATATTTGTATACAAGATAGTCCAGAGGCGTGAATGTGACCGTATGGTTACATTGTCGGCCGAGTCACGATCCATATTATTACGTTTTGGAACCGGAGCGTGATAATGTTTTTATTGGTATCAGAGCCAGGCTAGATAATTATTGCCTAATCCTATATAAAAAACTAAGATTAGGCTAAGAATAGAGCATGTATAGAATAGGTTCTCTGCTTTTCAAAAAGACATTCTTTGACTCCTAATACTTTGATTCTCAAGTCCTAATCTTGACCAATCTCATTTCAAGTGATCACTATGGCCACAAAACGTCAACCCCCTACTCCATTTGTCTCTGAGGGACACCAAGTCAACCAGACTGCTCTTGCAGAAGTGATTAGGGAGTTGGTAGCTCATAATCGCTAGAGGGACGGGCAATAGTAGGTTGCAAGGCCGGGTAATGTGTCTGATTTTCAGAAACTCAACCCGCAACACTTTGCTGGGACTGATGGCGGATATAAGGCCAAGATGTGGTTGTAGACCATGGATCGCCTATTAATGGCAACAAAGATACCAGACGAAGACCGAGTAGATATTGTACAACTACAGCTTGTTAATATAGCCAGAACCTAGTGGGACACAGAGGAGGAGAAGCTGCCTAAGCTGATTTTATGGGAGACATTCCAGGAGAGTTTCCTAGAGGTATTTTTCTCGAAGACAGCTCATCTTGAGATCCAGAGGTAGTTTGTAATGCTGAGACAGAGAGCTAGTACTATAGATGAGTATGCAGCAGAATTTGTCAAGTTCAGTAGGTTTACCCCAGGGATGGTGTCGAATGAGGTGGATAAGGGATAAAAGTTCATAAAGGGTCTAAATTTTGAGGTCCAGATGCAGATTTACAGTTAGAAGGGGATTGAGACTTATGCTATTATCCTAGAGGCAGCTCGGAAAGCAGAACAGCTGATTGGGATCATGAACTCTACGAGGAGAGGGGCAAACAAGTGCCCTGTAGGACAGACCTCGGGAGGTAACCAGCAAAAGCCTCAGATGGGGGGAGCACCAGCCAAGCACCAGCAGACAGGGGCCCCGAGACCAGTTCCTCAGCTCTGTGAAACGCGGAGGTGAGCATCGCGTTTGAAGTTTAGAACGCAGAGGTGAGCCTCGCGTTTGGAGTTTAAAACGTAAAGGTGAGCCTCGTATTTTGGAGTTAAAATGCGAGGATGACCCTCATGTTTTGGAATTGAAACGAGGGGGTGACCCTCGCGTTTTAGAGCTAAAACGCGGGGATGAGCCTCGCGTTTTAGAGCTAGAACACGGGGATGACCCTCGCATTTTGCTTTGAAGAGACCGTCAATTGTAATCTCTTTCTTTGAGTATTGCAAGGATCATCATCTTGTAATCCTTACATTTGGCTCTTTAAAATATGAGAGTCATCAATTTGTAACTCTCATCTGTTATTGTGAAAATCATCAGATTGTAACTTTTATCTGTTGTCACAAAAGTTGTCAGATTGTAACTTTTGTATGTTGTGGTGAGAGTCGTCAATTTGTAACTCTCATTGGTTAATGTGAAAGTCGTCAGATTGTAACTTTCATCATCAGTGCTTTGTGGGGATCAACTATCTGTAGTAATTTTTAGACAACCTGCATAACTTTTAACTTTATTCTTTTAAATGTTAAGTTTAGTGGATTAACTACAATGTTTTACTTAATATATGTAAACTATAGTTGATTGACTACTAACATTTACTTGTTCCTTGTTAGGTATAATTGAACAATTGTTGATTTTTGAATTATGAGAACCGTAGTGTACAAAAAGATAAGATTGGGATATTATCACCAATTAGTACTAAAAGGAAGGGGAGAAATAGAATAATACTATATAATGTAAAATATTTAGTAATTGTTAATATATATCTATTAAAATTCAAGAAGTACCTATTAAGGGTTGCTTAATTTTTAAATTGTTAAATATTAACTTTGTTTGTTTAATTTTTTTAGTTCTAATAAACTTGTAGCGTATATTTTATTAATTTTTTAGTTCAAATGTTGTAAGATTTTGAGAGGACTCATGATCTTAGGGGACTGTGAGATTGAGAGGAAATTAAAACTAATACATGATATAGTTAAATGTATAAATAGATGACCAACATTTGCATAATCATATTTTTGTATTGAATATGTTAATCTAGTACATGATATAGTTAACAATTACTTGACATTAAGCAGGAATAGACAAAATTTAATAGTATATAATATAGTTAATGTGATACTAGATATAATCAACAGATACATGATATAGTTTACATATACTAGATATAGTTAATAACCAGTGCTCAAAATTTAACAACTAATGTTGAAAGATTAATATGCATTGTGTAAATTTATCAGTTACGCTATAAACCTACATACAATAAGTAAAATTAATATATAACAGAGTCAAATACAAGTAAAAACTATTATCAATCAACAAAGCTTAAATAACAAAGCTCAGTTTGAAGTTCAATAACAGCAGGTCCTTTAACTTAGCAAAAAATCTAATTTCTTTTTTTTTGTCAATGAAAATTTTTATTCATAAAAAAATATGGAAATTTATTTACACCTTGATAGTCAGCATAGAAAAAAACTGAGAAGCCAAAGAAAAACTGCAAGAAAACTAAAAAACAGACAAAAACCTCAAAATATACAGGGGAAACAGCCCCTGTTAGCAGTCAGGGGGTTGTTGAGGATTGATAATGATATTTTATTATAATTTTATATCCTCGTTATCTAGTTTATATGAATAAATTTATCACTAATAATTATTTTTATCTTTAATTACAGATTAATCAAAAATAAAAGCCCAATATCTCTTCTCTTAACAAAGCCCACTAATTAAATGAAGAACTCAAGCATGAAAGCCCAAAAGAAGAAGAAATGCCAAAGAAGCCCAAGCCCAAAGTATAAAAGAAGAAGAAGTTGCGGAATGCAATTGCAGCACACTAGGCATCGATACCAGCATCGATGCTGGTATCGATGCCATCGTCATTCTGTTACGAATCTAAGGCTGGAATTCATAGTTTTTGGATAAGATTTCTACCCAAGGACTCTCATTCACTGATGTTTACTATAAATAGGGGTAGAGAGTGAGGGGTTAGGGATGTAAAAATTTTTGTAACTCCTTTTGGAGAGGAGGGCTACTCTTAATTAAGAAGGCCTTCCAAATTTATAACTTTTGTTATAATTAATAAAGTAATTTTTTCACCACTTTAAATTTTTCTCTTCTTCTCTTTGTTGGATGATGAAGATGAAGATGAAGATGGAGATTAATTTGAATGTTTGTTTTTCTTATTTCTCTTTTATTACTTATTAGTTTAGATTTATTTTCATGCTTGTAATTAGATTTTATTTTCTTGTTTAAATAGCCAAGAGGCTAGAACCCTCTTGCCTTAGATTTATTTCATGCTTATAGATTAGATTTATTTCATGCTTATAAAGTAGATTTATTTTCTTGTATTTAATTCTTGCAATTTATTTTGTAGTTTAGATTTTGTAATTTATTTTATAGTTAGATTTTAATTTCTTGTACTATTCACCTTGAGGCTAGAACCTTCTTGGGTTTAGTTTTTTTTTTGTTCATTTTTATTTTCTTTGATTTGCCTTTAGGCTAGAACCCTCTAGGGTATCACTTTTTTCTAAGAAGTGGATTCAATTCTAGATTACCCATATCTTTAATTGAATCCGCTATCTTTACATTCTTGATTTTTATTTGTTCTTGATTTTTCCTTCTTGCCTTGTTGATCACATTTATATTATCACTTCCACTCTCAAATATATTCATTTACACAATCATTTTCATTCTCTCCATCTCTCCACAATCACATTCACTCATTACTCCTATTTGTCACGCACACAACATAAGAACCGATTTTATATTTTCTCCTACAAAACATCTACCTTGTGAGATCGATATCTTTATACTATAACTTAATACGGTTGTGTACTTGCAACATTTTTGGTACATATTTATGCCGCATCAAGTTTTTGGCACCGTTGCCAGGGAGGGTGCTAAAATAGGATTTTATTATTTTGGTTCTTTAACTTGTGTGTTTTTCTTGTGAAGGAACCGCTTGGAGCTTGAAAATCTTGGATTGAAGATCAAGAACTTGGAGGATTGCTTTCGGATAAGTCTTCTTTCTAGCGTTTTTAATTCCACCATTTTTAGTTAGCTTCACAATTAGAGACAATTAGGATTTAAAAAAAAAGATTTTATTCTTGTTGACCATAATAAAATTCATTTTTTACTTGGACATTAACTAACAAGATAATAAACTTAAATAATGTTCCCCCTTCTCATAGTTGTTTGATTGTTAATCCTAATAAAAAAATATAAAGATTTTCTTTTTACCCTCCTTTTTAGTCGCTTTTAATTTCTAGGGTTGCATTTCATATAGTTTGTAGGAATTCACCAAAGTGATTGTAGCACTTGATTTGGCACATACTTAAAACATTCTTAAGGGCAAAACCCCTAATCAAGATAAGATAAGGGATTTAATCATCCATTTCTTAGCCCACAAATCACTAATTCCTCACTTTACAAACTCAAGCCTTCTAAAACTCATTAGACATTGGCCCCTAAGGCCCCGTTTGGTACTCAGGAATGGAGTGGAATGGAATGTCATTCTCACTTCTCATTCCCTCATACCAAACAAAACTTATTTTTAGATGTTGGAATGACCATTCCCATGGAATGATCATTCCCACTTTTAGTGGGAATGAGCATTCCAAGTGAGAAGATAGGGAATGATCATTCCCATTCAAGGAGAGAATCAAGTTAGTTAGTTTTTTTTTCAATTATACGCCTATTAATAATAAGAATCAATTTAAAAATTATGGCTTTTGACTACGTATTCTCATTTTCTCTCAGCTACTAATTATATTCGAACAATAGGAGTTTTTTGTGGGGTAGGGATTAAAACTAGTGGTACATATTTCAGTAGCATATTAAAACTAGCG